AAAATACAATGCAGTGTGGATGAAGTTTGCTTGTGTCAATGTGCTCATTTCCAGTGTGCTTGATTTCAAATCAGAGTATGTTTCTAATGGGGTCCCACCCTCTCTAACCTTTCCACTCTCACAGTCATGACTCCTGCTCCTCACACCTCAGAACCTGACAAACATCCAGGCTTCTCCATTCCCAGCCCATCACGTGCCTCTCCTGCTCACAGGTGTTCAGTGACACCTACAGCAGAAGTCCAAGTTCCTCAGCATGATGCTTGAAGACGTTCTACAATTAAATCCCAAATTTTCTCCCCAAGGCTCCACTTACCGCTGCATTTCTCTAAGTAACACACTGTTAGTCAAGCTGTGCCATCTGCCCTGTGCTGCATTCCTGCTTCACCGGTGCCTAAGAGGCCTGTGGTCCTGTCAGATCCCAGGCATCTTCCAGGGCCAGCGCCTCATGCCCACTGGGTGAAGCTTTGCCCGATTTCTGCCCAGGTGTCCTATCACCCAGCTTGAGGCAACCACATCTGAGTATCTGTAGACACTGTCTGCTAGGAGACATCCTTCCACATCAGTTTAATGCGTGGGTACGGCTAAGTACTTACAATCCCAAGTCCAACAAGGAAATTATAAAGTTTGATTTGGGTAACTGTTAAGATGTTTTCTTATTTATGCAAAAACTCTTACTCTTGGCATTAAATCAGGTTGCTGAACCTCTGATCAGGCTCCGTGGGACTCAGCCATGGCTTCAATCACTGGCAGAGCTTCCACACAGCGTTTTTCAACATAATGGATCTGCTCTGTGCCCTCGGCAGAGGGATGTTTTTAAAGCTCCCCAAGTGCTTCTAATATGCAGCTAAGGTTGAAAACCTCTCCATTACTGACGCACAATCCACAATCCATTTCTACATGGAAACTTATAAAGATAGAAAGTAAACTCTTATATTTACTTAAGAAATTTGAGCCTATGAAAGAAATCAGAAATGCCTAAGTCTTGAATCAAGGACTTGTTCCTTGCCTAACCAAACAAGGTTATCTGTGGTTTAAAAATATAAGAAACAATCTTTCTAATACCAACACTGAAAGAAAATTAGCTTGATGATAAAGCATTTTATCAAATTTTATTTGGCTTCAACGTAAAGTTACTCTTTATAATTTTATATTGGCATAAGATATACTGAGAGAACATTCAAGGTAATTAACAATACAAGTCTTCTGCACAAATGCTAAAATGTCCTGGAGAGGAGGAATTTTTATTTGCACTGTTAAAGTAGATTGTAGGTTTAGAGAAAATAGGTAACTTTGGTATTTAAAATTTAGTAATGTCTGACAGCTAGTATTGTAACTCAGAATGAAGATTTCTACATGTTTTAAGAATTTGCATATGTGTACTTGAGCAGGATTAGCCTGCTGTGCTGACTTCCTGAAATCATGCAAAATTGAATGAGTGTACCCATTTTTGTTCTAACCTACATTGTTTTCATCATTTCCAGTCTCGTCCATGAAAGGTAACACTGATATGAAGCTGTCCTTTACAAAAAAACAAAACACAAAAACGTTTTTTATTGATTTTTCACAGAGAGAGGAAAGGAGAGGGATAGGGAGATGGAAACATTGATAAGAGAGAAACATCACCATTGGCTGCTCCTGCACACTCTCTATTGGACATTGAGCCCTCCATCCCTGTATGTGCCCTGACCTGGAATGTAAGCAGTGACCTGTTGCCCTATCTGCTTGGCTCAGTGGATAGAGTGTCGGCCTGCAGACTAAAAGGCCCCAGATTCTATTCCAGTCAAGGGCATGTACCTTGGTTGTGGGCTCATCCCCAGTAGGAGGTGTGCAGGAGGCAGCTGATCAATGTTTCTAACTCTCTATCACTCTCCCTTCCTCTCCGTAAAAATCAATAAAATATATTTTAAAAAAAAGAAAGAAAGAAAGCAGTGACTTCTTGGTTCCTGGGTGGACTGTCAACTGCTGAGCCACACCAGCCAGGCAAAGCTGTCCTTTTTGTAAATCATAGTACTGCTGCCCTCGTGTGGACCGTTAGAGCATTTGACAATCCCTTCCTTAGCCTTTAAAATTGTCTTTATTCAGAGGTTTGTCATTACTTTCATTACTTTATAATGTCACTTTGAAGTGGTATTAACAACTCTTTTCTGGTTTCCTTTTGTGAAATCTATAATAATAATAGACTTAGCGACCATTGAAACTGAATGGACAACTGAACAGGCTGTGTGTGTGGGGAGACTAGGCCGGCAGGGAGGTTAGAGAGGGATGACCAAAGGACTGAGCAGCAGGTTGCGTGGGGCCACCAGTCTGGCGGTGGGCAGTGGGGGGAGGGACAGTTGGGGGCAACCAGGCTGGTGGGGAGGGCAGTGAGGGTCGACCAAACAACTGAGCAACAGGCTGCATGGGGCAACCAGGCCCGCAGGGTGGGCAGTTGGGGGCGACCAGGCTGGCAGCGGTGGCAGTGAGGAGTGGCCAGACCAGCAGAGGGGGGCAGAGAAGGCAACCAGGCTGGGGGAGGCGGTGAGGGGGGCCAAGTAAAGTCCACTAGGCTGGCGAATGGGGGGGTAGTTGGGGGCAAATAGTCAGGGAGGGGGGACAGTTAGGGGCAGTCAGGCAGTCAGGCAGGTGAGCAGTTAGGAGCCAGTGGCCCCAGATGGTGAGAGGGATGTCCAACTGCCAGTTTAGGCCCCATCCTAAACTGGCAGTCAGACATCCCCCAAAGGGTCCCAGATTACAGAGGGTGCAGGCTGGGCTGAGGGGACCCTCCCCTGTGCACAGATTTTGTGCACTGGGCCTCTAGTTAACATTGTAAAAGGCTAAACTGTCCCCTATGAATACTGGGGTCTGTTGTCTGTTTCCCTCTCTCTCATTTCCATACCAGCAGAAGGTGAACAGATAGCCATGAGAACAGGTCACATTGAGAAAGTTACCCACCCTGGATCCTGAATTCTAGATCAAGAAAACCTGCAGAGGGATAGTAACACCCATGTTAGCTGGTGGAGCCAATTGTGGTTTCATTACTTTATGTAGCTTAAAAAATTGAATTATTGTGTGTTGCAGTGGAAAGCCTTGTAGTGAATACCAGAAACAAGCAACAGCTCTGCTTATCCTGGGATTTGGGTTAGGGCATGTGGCTTCAATTCTGTAATCTACTGATGTTTATTTTTATTTTTTTTATATATTTTTATTGATTTCAGAAGAATGGGAGAGAGGGAGAGATAGAAACATCATTGATGTAAGAGAATCACTGATCTGCTGGGAATGAACACCTTGAATCCACCGGTGACTTTCTGGTTCATAGGTCGATTCTCAACCAATGAAACACACCTGCTGGACGTAATCTACTGATATTTAGATGAGCACTTATTTATGGTGTTTGGAGAAATGATTGGTCATTGGTCATCTACCACCTGAAAGGCTCCTAGGAAAATACTCCTTCATTTGCACTTGACATGGGATTCAATCATGAGGGGATATTTGCATAAGATGCCATAGTACTGTGCTTCTCCCATTTTAGTGTGTGGTTGAACCACAGGTTGATCTAGATAAAATGCAGATTCTGATTCACACGGGTCTCAGGTGGGGCCCTGTGTTTGCATTCCTGTGAGCCCATATTCTGCAGTTGTGGTAGGCTCCTGTATCATGGCCTCACAGATAACAGGGGACTAACACCTGGGACCTGTGATGTCACCTGCATGGCAAAGGGTCTTCAAAGATGAGACCTTGCATGGGGAACTACCCCAGATTATCAAGGTGGGGCCCTAAATGTAATCACAAGCTCCTTCCAAGAGGAAGGCAGAGGGAGATGTGACTACAGCTCAAGGTGATGTGACCACTCAAGCAAAATGCTGCTGGATGGAGGATGGAGGCAGGAGCCAAAAAACACAGAATGCAGCTCCAGAAGCTGGAAAAGGCAAGGAACTGATTCTCTCCCAGTCCCTACCAATACCTTCCTTTCCACCGAGTGAACTTGATTTCAGACTTATGACCTCCAGAAAAGAAGAATAAATGTGTGTTGTCTTGAAACACTGTGTGAATGTTTGTGTTCCTCCAACATTCCTGTGTTAAATCCTAATCTCTAGGGGCCACTGGGAAGTTACTAGGTCATGGGGGCTCAGGCTTCATGAATGGGATTCGTGTCCCTATAAAAGAATCCCAAGACAGTCCCTCAGCCCTCTGCCATGTGAACTTACAGCAGGAAGGCTCTGTCCATGAACCACAAAGCTGGCTCTCACTAGATGCCAACACTGCCAGGGCCTCGATCTTGGGCCTCCCGGCCTCCAGAACTGTGAGGAACTGTGGCTCACCGGTTACCCAGGCTGTAGTATTTTGTATAGTGACCCGAAGACACTGCGATGCCCAATCTGCTGTGATTTGTTACCGCAGCCGCAGGAAAGGAGCCACCAACGCCTTTTAGCAGCAAAGCCACAGGCCAGTGGTTCTCAGCCCAGGCTACACATTAGAATCACTGGGATGAGTTTAAAAAACAAACAGCAAAAAGCAATGCCCAGGTCCCATTGCTGGAAGAGTTAAGGCAGAACCTGTAAGGGTTGCAGCTAAGCATCACTCTGAAAAGGCTCCTTGGCTGAGTCTGATCAGAAAGTAGAATGAAGCTGTCCCATTAGAATAAACCTAAAATACAACTTTTCTTGTGTTTAAAAATACCTCCTAAGCTCCCCAAATTATGGACACACTAGTGTTCCCAGTACCCCCCTGAAACTATATGCCAGCTCCTCAGTGAGGCCTGGCCCAACACCCCAAGTCAAGAATTACCAGGTTAGAGATTCCACACAGGATATCACCCTCTCTAGGGTTGAAGCACAGCCCTGGGGCCTAGGCCCCGCCTTGCAGGCCGCCATTGGCCCCGCCCTGCCTTGACGTGTGCGTCCAGGCCACACCCTCTCTGTGTGAAGCCCTGGACACTTGATGAGTCTGGGGATTGTTGCGTCTGCTACCTGCACTCAAAGAGGCAAATACTCACTGTCCCTGGGGTTTCTCCGCTGATGTCTGGGAACATGAGGGCCTCCTACGAGCCGCTCAGGGCATCTTCCCGCCGCCTGGAGAGTCCCTTTTCTTGGGGCTTCCTTGGGATCCTAGTGCTGGCCCTAGAGCTCCTGCTACCCACATGCTCAGGTAGGGAAGGGAAAGGGTGTCAGCTCTGGAGGGAAACTAGAGCGGGTAGGGGAGCTGGTCTACAGGAGGGGAGGGCAAAGGGAACTTTGCTTGGTGTGGGGGGGAGGAGGCTCAGGGCTTGTGGACCAGGTGATGCGTGTTCAGGGTAGAAGCCTTAGCCACAGATCCTCCTGGTTGTTCTGTGGGGGACCCAGAAGTGAGGGGGGACTCAGAGGGCCTGCAGAGAGGGTTGTTAGGTGGTAGGCACAGAGCCTTGCAGAGCCCTGGGTGCAGTCAGTGTTTGCTGGGGGCCAAGCTGTGTCCCTAGCAAAAGCCTGCAGGTGTTTGAGGACTGAGCTAATCAAGATGTCAGAGATTAACCAAAGAACATATATGTATATAAGCATAACCCATGGACATGGACAATAATGTGGGGAAGGCCAGGAGTGGGGTGGGGCTGAATGGATGAAGGCAAAGGGTGGAGGGGGAATGGCGGACAAAAGGAGATGGGAAGCCCTGAGCAGGTTTGAAGGTGCGGCCTGCTCTTCAGTGCCCAGTGTGTGGGGATGTTGCTTGGGCCAGTGCTGGGACCATGACGAGGCTTTGCCCTGTGTCCCCTGGGCTTAGTGAAGCCTTGGTGAGTGGGGTGCTGCGCCCACTGGGTTGGGCTGGGCGATCCCAGGCCTGGTGTTACCAGGCATATGCTTTACAGAAGGGTCCAGGCCAGGGGTGCAGGGTGTGGGGCAAGGAAGCTCACTGCTTGCTTTGTATGGGGTTTGGGGAGCGCGTGTTACCCAGAGAGCCCTTAAGTGAGAGCGAGCTCCAGGGCCTGGGGTTTAGAAGGATTGGGAAGGACACGCAGTGCTTTTTGTACAAAAAGGTAACAGTCTGCTTGTTGCCCCCAAACCATATTGGTATTGCTCTCCAGGCTGTTGCTTGTTTTAAGCCTGGAGACACAGTCCTAATCCCATCCAGTATAGATAATACCCTATGCTATTCCCAGATGTCATGTGTGCAGTCTTTTTCTTTTTTTATTAGCTTGGGTCCCATTTGAGGGGAGATTAGAAGCAACCTGGTACCCAATCCCAGTGAGAAATCACTCATAAGAAATGAGCAATGCATAACATCAATAGCTTTTCCCCTATAGCTGATAAACTGAAGCTGAAGGCCATCCACTACCTTTGATTCTTGTTTGACCAAATGCAATCAATACATATAGACATATATATATATATAGATAGATAGATAGATAGATAGATAGATAGATATAGATATAGATATAGATATAGATATAGATATAGATATAGATATAGATATAGATATATTAGTGGCCCGGTGCACGAAATTCATGCACAGGGGAAGGTGTGTTCCTCAGCCTGGCCTGCACCCTCTCCAATTTGGGAACCCCCAAAGGATATCCTACTGCCAGTTTACAGGGATCAGGCCTAAACCAGCAGTCGGAAATCCCTCTCGCAATCCGGAACTCCTGGCTCCTAACCGCTCACCTGCCTGCCTGCCTGCCTGATTGCCTCTAACCACTCTGCCTGCCAGCATGCTCACCCCCAACTCCCCCCTCCCCCCCGCTACCGGCCTGCTTGCCTCCAAATGCCCCCCCCACCAGCCTGATCACCCCAAACTGCCCCCCTGCTGGCCTGCTTACCCCTACCTTCCCTCCCCACTGGCCTGCTCATCCCCAACTGTCCCCCTGCTGGCCTGCTCACTCCAAACTCCCCCCCCCCCGCTGTCCTGATCACCTCCAATTGACCCCCACTGATGGCCTGCTTGTCCCCAACTGGCCGCCCTGCTGGTCTGCTTACCCCAACGGCCCCACCCCCCACCAGCCTGATCACAACTGCCCTCCCCTCTTGGCCTCTAACCGCCTCTACCTTGGCCCGCCACCATGGCTTTGTCCAGAAGAACATCTGGAAGGTCTCCTGGAAAGTCTCCCAGTCTAATTAGCATATTACTCTTTTATTAGTATAGATATATTTGTCTGTAAATATGGTTATGATTACAGATATGAGTAGGACCAGGTAAAATTTTATAGAATGGGCCTTTTATTACAGATGGTTTGCCATGTATGCATTTTTTCTAAAGAAGTAAACATTACTTTAAAAAATGTTTCAGGAAGACTTTGAGAAATTTACAGTATCTGCTTTTCTTCCAAGAAAGTTGTCACTTTTATGCCAGAGTGAGAATTATTTGTATGCTTTTTATGTCAGCATTGGACCACTGTGACTGGGGGGGCACTTAGCTTGACTTGAGAGTAATTATCTTGCTCACTGGCTGGGAGGGAGGGTGTGTGGCAGAGGAGATAAATACTCGGTTCTGTATTATTCATAGATTGCTGACTTTCTGGATTGATTGTACAAGCCCCTCCTTTTATTGATGTCCACCTTCTGTTGACAGACATCTACCTGGGAGAGAAATGAGATGAAACTCTCTTTCTTTTCATTGTAAAAAGCATTTGAATTCCTAAGGTGTGATAAGGCCACCCAGCCATCCACAGTCAAGGTACACATTTTCATGGAGGATGTTCCCACTCTCGAATAAATTAAAACAATTTTTTTTTAAATTTAAACTTTCTTCTACAACTGTTTTCTTGTTACTTAAAAGCTAGTTTTTTTGAAACTGCTTCCAAAGCTTTTCAAGCTGTATATGTCCTTGGAATGAATTTGTAAATAAGAATTGAGCCCGGCCGGTGTGACTCAGTGGTTTAGCATCAACCTATGAACCAGGAAGTCACAGTTTGATTCCAGGTCAGGCCACATGCCCAGGTTGTGGGCTTGATCCCCAGTACAGGGCGTGTAGGGGGCAGCGGATCAATGATTCTCTCTCATCATTGATGTTTCTATCTCTCTCCCTCTCCCTTCCTCTCTGAATCAGTAAGAATATATTTGAGAGAGAAGAGTATATATGTTTGTAAATAAGAAAACATGTATTTGATGCTCTTAGAAAGTCTTATTTTCTTTCATTAAAACTTGTGCAGTATAGGGAACTCCATAGATTCTCTTAATTTGAAGAAAGTTAGAGGGAAAGGTACTAATTCAGAATTCCTTGGGAAAATGTGTCACATATATATTTTATGTTTATTTTTTTAAATCAAAAACTGAAATATTTTCTATTCAGAAAATATATTTGGATCTAAATATCTTCTATAATTTTAACCCCAAAATATCAATTTAAATATTTTAAAAATGGTTGGGATGTTTGTTTGTTTTTAAATAAGTTAGGTTACTGGAGTTCTACATGTTACTGGATCACCTAGGGTAATTTTCTGATTGGAAAATTAAGAATTATACTCAGAGGGGAGGACATGAGAATTTTTAAAGAACATATTCAATTTACTCTAGAAGCCGAACCTCTCTTATCATGTGATTTGTTTTATATGTTTGTTAAACTATATTATCACATAAGCATTGCTGCTATTGGGACAAACAGTGACAGTTGATTCGGGTCATTTGAATGTCCACTGTCTTATTTTTTTTTATTGTTTTTTAAATATATTTTATTGATATTTTACAGAGGGGAAGGGAGAGGGATAGAGAGTCAGAAACATCGATGAGAGAGAAACATTGACCAGCTGCCTCCTGCACACCTCTACTGGGGATGTGCCTGCAACCAAGGTACATGCCATTGACCGGAACTGAACCTGGGACCCTTCAGTCTGCAGGCTGACGCTCTATCCATTGAGCCAAACCGGTTTGGCCCACTGTCTGCTTTAATTTGTCTGTTCGTTTTGACTCTGTCATATGCTCAAACTTCAGTGGAAGTCATGAGAACCTATTATTTTTGCCTGCTCCCTCCTTTACTTTGGAAATATTCTTTTTTACACAGAGGGACCTTAACTTTGATGTAAGGGATTGTTTCCGTTGCCAACTGTTTTCTTCCTTGCCAAGTAAGACAGTTGTTGTGAACTCTTCAGTGATGCCTTCCCCAGGATATTTGCAGATGTGGTTGGGAAAAGTCATTTCATCCCTGACCTTTGCATCTCAGGTGCTGAGGTGCCGGGGGTGCCATGGCGATCACAGGGAAGCAGGCCAGCCTGCACCCCTAACCCCCGGGAGGTCCAGGGGTGCCGGCTGGCCTGTGCCTGGGCTCTCTCTCCCTCCAATCACCATGGGGATCACGGGGAAGCAGGCCAGCCTGTGCCCAGGCTCTCTCTCCCTCTGATTCACAATGTGATCACCAGCTGCAGGCAGCCAGCACCCCCGGCCTGGGGTTGTTGCCTCTCCTGCCGCCAAGCTTTCCAATGGCGATCACCCCCCAGCTCTTGCCTGCCACCTGGGTTTCCGATCTCTTTCGCCTCCCATGATTGTGCCTATGAATGCAAATTAACCGCCATCTTTGTTGGCAGTTAACCGCCATCTTGGTTGGCAGTTAATTTGCATATCGCCCTGATTAGCCCATGGGAAGCGTGTCGGAGGTATGGTTAATTACCATGTTTGTCTATTATTAGATAGGATATATATGCTCACTGTATAAAATGTATGTGATGAAAGGGAACCCATTGAATATTATGGTGTATTTCCAACTGTCGTTATATACATGTGTGTTTCTATACCCAAGTCATTTTTAGGATGCTATTATATAGAGATTGTATGCTATATTCTCTCCTTAGGAGAATTCTTTCAATAAAGATTTTCCTTGTATGCGCCACGCCCTGTGCTGATGCTGGGGACACACTGGTGACCAATAACAAGCCATTTCTATTTTCATGATCCTTATTTCACTCCTTGCTTCCACACAAACACACATGCACATAAACAGTGACTGTATTTTGCTCACTGTCAGATCCCCAGTGTCAGGCGCACAGTAGCAATCAATAAAGATTTTCTGAAATGTACTGGGACTGGCAGACAGTAAGCAGACCACAATGCTAGTGTTATAACCCCAGTCAGGTGCCCTGGAGGAAGGAGCATGCTTCTCTGAGAGCATTTAACAAATGACTGTTGGGAGGGAAGGCTTTTCTGCTCAGGGGCCACACTCTGTCACTTTGGGGTTTCTGCACTTGCTGTCCC